GCCAACAAGAGTAAGAGGCGTAGACACCAAGGTGGTGGTGGTCGGCAGGAGACCTCTAACATCAGGAGTCGTGTGTACCTATCCGTGTGTATGGAGGGTAGTCGACTCGGTATTGCTCTTCTCGACTTGAATAGTGGTAGCCAAGATACAGTAGTACAGGCGTCCGAGCTGGATGATGCCCTCGCTGCTATGTTACGGGGTGTAGTGAGTTATTCTATTGACGGTCGTCATGATGATGGTGGTAATGATGATGATGTATTGGGGTGTCTAGTGCTGTACCCTGGTAAATCCCCACTAGTATTACGCCAACAGCTAGGGGATAAAGTCCGAACCTCTGGCATGGCTCGACAACCACAGACGGCTAATGGAGGGGATGCTGGACTGACGGATCCCATCATCCTATCGACGACAATGACGGCCATTGAGAGGCCTGTGTCACAGTACGAGTATCCATCATGTGTTCAGAGAGTACTCGAACTTATGGCTAAGTTGGAATCTGCAGACGATGCCGCCACCAATAACACGAGTACTACACTACCAATAACAGGAGGTCACTCACAACTGTGGAGGGCTCTATCTGGTCTACTATCCTTCCTCGACGAGATGGGCTTGCTTACTCGATATCGCCCTAGAGGAGTAGTCATGAAGCCACTAGAGGGGCTCCTATCAGTAGACAGCGTCACATTACGTACCCTAGGGGTAACAAGTGCTGGTCGTAGCACTGCAATAGTAGCTGGTCACAAGCATCGAGTTATGACACCTAGTATCACTCGCTTACTCGGACGTTATATATCGTCCCCTCCAGGTCGAGGGGTTCTGCAAAGGTGGTTGGCAATGCCATGTAGCAACATTGATATTATAGAGTCAAGGTTGAAGGCACAGGAGATCATCATAGGCAACCTCTCGCCTGACCTCGCTTCTAGGATGAGTAAGAATCTCAAAAAGCACCGTGACCTCTCTAAGATACTCGATAGAGTTACCCAAGGTTTCAATCTTGATAGTGCGGCTCGAGTAGCTGCATGGTTACAATTACTACGATCATGCCAAGCTGCGTTAGAGATAATTAGATCTATCGAGATGCTACCACCAACATCACCGTTGAGGATTGAAGTACCCTGTATATCCAGCCTGCTGGAGTGCCGTACACCATTACTACAAATACAGCACATGTTGGAGGCCAGCTTTGACCTAGATGCCTGGGCAGCTGCTGGGCCTACCCACCTATCGATCAAGGTTGGCATCATCCCTGAACTTGATGCATTACGTGAACAGTACGATAAGTTGGAGGACATCCTCACTAGGATGGGTGCTGCTGAATCCAAGGCCTTAGAGGACAGACTACAACAACAACAAGGAG